GCCAGACAGGGGCCTATCGTGTTTTATTTTCTGTTTATTGTACAAAGAAAAATGTATTTGCATTTCTCTGCAGACGTTCTCTCCRTGCTATCTCCATCTTGGTCCTAGAGCATTTTTTCCTCCTACTGACTCACATGCTTTGCTCTGTGTGCTTGTGTTTTGCCAGACGGGGAAGTGCGACGTGAAGCTGGTTCAGAGAAGGTCTGATGAAGCCCTGCTTCCCCAAGCCCAAAGGTTAGTGCTAAYGCAGGGTTTTGCAGGACGCTCTTTAAACTGCACCTAGACGTGTCTTTCTGAGAGCTTCTGCGGAACTGCAAAAGTCCAAGCCTGATATTAGAGGCTCTGTGGATGGAAGGCAGCAGCACAGACCTTTCAGGCTGGCAACAAAGACCTCTCACACARATGGTTGCTGGTGAGTGTTCTTCAAATTATTTTGAACTTAACTTATTTTTTGACATGAACTTCACCCTGTGACATGGCAGGCATGACTAGAATAATATGGCATTCCCAATTCTCCCCCTGGGTTTATCACTGCTTCTTCAGACACATATTGTAGGATGCATGTAGTTGGTCAGTGTGGGAGTGACACTGAGACACCCTGGGCTCWGCTGCAGCCCCTTCTGTGCAGCAAGCAGATAGAGCCAATCTTTAGCCTGGATGAGGGGGCTACAGAAAGAGGGTCTGAGTCTCACCCCCTTGCAGGCGACCTCCTCTAATGGTCATCAGAGATCCTAGGGCAACTAAGAAGTCAGAGTACTGCAGTGCAAGCTGTGGGTACGTCAGTATTTTTGTGTGTTGACTGGGATGCTCACTTTGCTGCTCTATGCACCTTCTCTGCGCGCGGCTCCGAGCCCTCCCGGCGGCACCGGCGCCGCCGGCGGCTCCTGCCGTGCCCTGGGCGCCGGGCTGAGCTCCCGGCGGGGTCCTGCTGCCCGGCGGGTGGCTCCCCGTCCCCATCCTGCTCAGCACTGCTCCCAGCTGCTCCTGCCTCCGCCACCTCCCGCTGCCTCCCCCGTGCTCGGCCGCGGCCCCTCTGGAGCAGCGGAACAGCTGAGCAAGGCTGGAGTGGGCAGGGACGTTCCCCGGTTTCTCTCCTCCCTGCCRGGGGCTGCAGCTCTCACTGCTGGGCAGGGGGCTGCGCCCCGCTAGTCCTGCGCCTTGCAAAACAGCTCCTGCCTTTGCAGCGTGGATTTTTTTTTTCCCTCCCCTCTGACACTTGGAGTAGCTAATTGGATAGCCAAACACTAGYGGCAGGGGTGGGATTACTTCATGCTCTTGCAATGCTGTTTTGCTGCGCGCTCGCAGCCCTTTGGCGTGAGCYGGGGCTGCCCTGAAATGCTGCCTTGCCCGTCGTGTGAGCGCAGGGGAGGACGGCGGAGCCTCGCGGGAGCCCCGCGGCGCCCGGCTGTGAGTTGCTCCCTCGAGCGCTTTCCTTCTTGCTCTGTCCCGAGTGCTTGAGGAGGGTTTCGTTGTCTCCGTGACTAAATGGGGGCCGGAGCTGGRCTCTTGTGACTGCTGTATGCAGCTCATCCTGCAGCAGTTCCAGTCAGTTGCGGTGCGCGGTGGGGTTCCTTTGTCTGACAGGTTCAGGCTATCCCTGGGGCTCTTTTCTTTCCCTTCTTCCATTTTCCCCTCCAGATACTTCCCTGGAAAAGAGAGGTTCGCTGTGGCRACCGCTGTCCGCGCCGCCAGCCAASAGCTGGCTGCGTTCTCCTGCCTGCTGCAGGCTGTGCTTTGCTCCAGCGTTTCTGCGGAGCGAATCCTGCCTCCCGGAGCCACAGGGTGTCGTGGTGTGGAGGAGCTGGCTCCCTTTTGGATTTCTTTGCATTTCCCCTTTTTTTAATTTTACTTGGAGTTGCTCTTCTTCGGTTTTGGCAGGGAATGGGGGTGAGGAAAGTGCTCACGTGGGTGGCGTTGAAATTCAGCTGGGCCGGGCAACAGAAACGTCTTTCCTAAAAACACCCTCTGCCTCACTAGGCTCCTTAGGAAGTTCATCCACTGAAGATGGGCCAGAAGTTATACATCTCCTTAAAGCAAGGAGAGAAAATAGATGGAAGGGGGTGAGGAGGGTCCTGCACACTCATCCCTTGAGGCCAGGCCTACCCTCAAGGGCAGGAGGCCACTGTCCAGCGTGGAGGCTTGGGGAGGTGGGTGCCTACACGCCTGCCAAAAAGCCTGGGCCAAGGAATTTCTGCCTCCTGCCTCGAGCTGTGGCAGCATCCTGAGGCAAATGTGGCTTTGCCACGGATTTCCCTGTGGCGGGCGGGAAGCGGGACACAGCAGAGCTGCTCCCGAGGACTTCACCAAGCCCTTCTCGCCCTCCCCATGCCTGTGTTGTTTCTTGCTCTCAGCTGGCAATTACAGCAGGAGGAAACTATTAGTCTTCCTTCTCTATTGYGAATGTTTTAATTGTCAGAGAGCGACCCTAGGAATAACAAAACGTGCGAAGCAGGGCTTTATATCTGTAAAACCTGGGCTCTGCTCTCCTGGCCTGAATGAACTGCCTGGGCTGAGCCGAGACCTCTGCGGGCGCTGCAGGGCTGCCTGTGTTTGGGGAGTTGGGGGCTTAGCAGCTGCTKCTCCGCTTCCCAGGGAGGAATGGAGGTCGGGGGACTGGTGCCCTCCCAGCCCTCCCACGTGGAAGTGGAGCTTGTCCTTGACTGCGGCTTTTGCCCCCCGTGCCCAAAGGTAGGTTTGTGTAATGCATTTAAAAAGCAAGAGCTGATGTTGCTTCTCTCAGCTGATGAGATGGGAATGTCATAGATGCACAGAGAAACTTCTCGCTTTCTGTGAAAGCAAAAATCCAGCTCTGTTTCGATGGAAAAAAAAACATCTAAGGGCTTTCCAGACGTGGGGAGCCTGCAGCCTGGTTGTGCTGGAGCAGTGGTGGTCCTGGACCCTCTTCTCCAGGGCTGTTAGAGAGGACAGGGCAGGCCAAGGGTTTTGYTGAGGTGCCCAAACATGACCAAGGGTCTCCCATGGCTTCCAGCTGTGGGAGCTGGCGGGGGGCGCCGCGCAGGGCACCTGGCTGTCCTTGGGCTCCGTGGCAGCCGTGGGGACACGACTGACAGTGTGGGAAGCTCAGGTGGCTCCAGGCTTGCCCGTAGCTGGTGGGAGCTGTYGAAATCGCAGGGAAATCGGGGCCGGGGCTTGTGTGCTGGAGTGGTGCTCTAGGGTGCTCTAGGGCACCTGAGAGCTGCCTGCCATTGCCATCTGGCACGGCTTGCCTGGGGCTGCTGCRTTTCCAGTCACTGCTTAGAGAGCCTAATCTTGAATAAAATCTGCGTTTTTTGGTGATAAATTGATAGTGACTTTATTTTGACATTTTAAAGCTTTCTATGTATTAACAGGAACTGGGATTTATTTTTTCTCACCAAGAACGTGTGAATTCCAGCTCTGAAGCAAAGTGACCTCTACGATCTTTCTCTTTGGGTGTCTGGCAGAGCTAACTGAACTGGAAACAAGGCTTGGGCCTGGGTTGAGTTCCTGCCCTTCAGCTAGTCCGTCTGCATGGCAGCAGAGTTGAAACAGGGAACCCATGGCACTCAAGTGTGTTTGCTTCCTTTGGGTGCACTGGGAAGGTCGCAAAGAGCTGCCAAGGAGCAAGGGCTTCCCGCCCGGCAGGGAGAACGGGAGAGCTGAGCTCCTCCCAGGAACTTCTCCCCATTGCCTGTTCTCCTCTGCCGTTGTGGTGGGCGGTGGGGGACCTTGGTTGTGCCCGCAGAGCCACTGCAGTGCCTGCTCTTGGGTTGGGGGTGGCGATGCAGGTGCATAAAACCCGTTCTTACTCTGTTTACAGGACGTACGTGGGGACAGCATCACCTCCAGGCACGTGGCCCTTGTGYGGTAGAGTAGATTCAACGGCAGCAGAGGAAGAATCTGCCTTTTGGACCATCCAAAGTGATGGCAGGAGAGCTGCCCATCTACGGGGTAAGAGTCCAGCAGGGCAGCTGCCTGGCTTGCGTTCAGCATTTTGTATAGTGCCAACAGAGACTGCAGAAGTCCCTCTGGGCTGTTCATCCTGCTCCTTTTGCTTGCAAGGTCCACATTCTTTGCCCATTGCTATATTGATAAATTTCTTTTTTTCTACCTGTTTTACACTTAAAATGTCCACTTTACGTTTTTTTAAGGCAGTCGAGTGCAGAAGGGAAATCRGACTAAGGCCTCCCTCAAAACGCCCTGATTGGGTTATAAGCTGAGTGTTCCTGTACTGCCTGTTAAACCACGTGTGAGGCTTGGGCAGGGACTGCACGATTGTTGCATACCCCGCCACACACCAAAACAAGGGACTGCAGGTGGACATGTGCAGTCCAGCCTCCTGTCTGCTCTTCAGCAATGTCCCACATGTTTGCAGGTAACCAAGGAAGAACATGGGCTGTGGAGTGAGCTTCACGTGTGCTTGTAACCAGCAGGACCCCAAACGGAGCAGTCTTCCCCCTCTTTTGGGCAGGCTTTTCTCATCTCTTGGCTGGGAGAACTGTTTCTCCCAAGATCGTGGTCATAAAACTTTGCTCATTAATGGGTAGTGAGGGCTGGAGGGCTTCAGGGTGGAGGTGAAAGGCAGACAGGTTTATTTATCAGTGGTATCCAGAGGTCTTTTTGTCCTGGCTGTCGTAAGCACAGGCAAACCCCTCATTTTAGCCCTGGTGTTAGCTGTGTTGCAACAACRTGTTCCTCTGCTTCCCCCAGCCTCACGGGCAAATGACTCACATTGGTGCCAGGTGGGTTTAATTGGGTGCTGGCTCCAGGTGATGTGAATTAAACCCTCTGATGCAACAACCTRTTTACTAAAGCCTGCTTCCCATAAGGGTCCTGGAGCTTCCTCTGCTGAGGGAGTGGAGGTGGGTGGTAGGATTGCTTCTCAGGATGGTGGTTGGAGGRATTCTTCCCTCATGTGTGTCCAGAAGCCTGGAAGATCCCATCTTTGCTTTTCTACTGGTGAGAAGAGACAGCCCCTGAAGCTGGTGTATGACAGATGGATGTGGGGGCATGTGCCTGCCTAGGCTTCCTCCTGCTGTTTGCGTTTCCTCGTGAAGTGGAGGTGAGATTACCATTTTAAGCRCCCTAATCTTTCCCAAGGTAGGAAATCCTCCTGATGAGTGGGAGGAAAAAAAAAAAAAATCTTTGCTTCTTCATGGAAGTGCTTAGAAAGGATCATGGCCAGCACGCTGGTCTCCACTACAAGAGGAGGTGGTGCCTTGAAAGTAGCTGGTTGTTTTATTTTGTGGTTGACTTCCATTAAGAAAGGAAGGGTGCTTGAGAGCTCCAGGGACTTTCTGACTAGCTTAACAGGGTGTTTCTTGAGGTTTATTAACTGTAACGTGAAGCAGCAGAGGAATCTATGGGTTAAAACTAACGAGAGTGGGTTTTTGTCTGGTGTTCAAAGTAGTTCCCCTCATCCAAGGAGGACAGATGAACCTTGTGTTTGTGATGAGGGAGGAAGAAGCCTGCCAGGCAGGTCTGGTGGCACCTACCTTGGCCTGGGCAGGCTGGTGGTACTCGTTGGTCCTGATGCTTGCTTTGAAGAGGCCTCTGCAAGGCAGCTCTGTGCACTGCTACCCCAGGCTGTCCTTTCTGGCTGGCTTGTGTCTTGTTTTCTCCCCGYTTGCTTGCGGCATCAGAGGTTGATGGCTTCCTAGAGAAAACAGCTCTAGCTGTTTCCTGCACAAGTCTGCTTGGGTTTCCTCTGGGTTTGGAGGAATGGTCTGAGCTCCTTTACAAGTAAAAGAGTCTGAAATCTAATGAGAGACGTAACTATGCAAAGGCAAAATACTGTCAGCGAGTTCCTAGCGTTATCATTAACAAGGTCAGATTGTTGCCTGCTAACGAACCGAGTTTACTTTGCTCATCTGCCACTCCCCAGGCAGAAGAGTGGGGCAAACAGCTTAGCAGTTTGTATTTAAATAGCTGTCCTTATCTTGGGGAGAGATGTCCTACTAAAGGACAAATTCCTGCTGCAATCCCAGCTCCTGGCTTTCCCTTCCCTCAGTTCATTTCCAGTATGAGCTAAGATATTGATGATACTTTCTGCTACCTTTTTTCTGCTAGGGCTTCCTTGTAGCTCAGACTAGAACCTGAGAAAACTGATACTTGGGTAATCTCCCCTTCTTCTGAAGGTTTATTGGGCCTGAGATGATTCTCAGGTTGTGCCCCCTATAAYGTAAAGTTTGCCTCTCTAATCCCTAGGAACAGGGGAATATCACCTGTCCAAAGCACCTAGGAAAGATGCTGGATATCACCAGTGCTTCCGTTTCCCACACAAGATATTCATCGGTGACTATATTATAGTCTTTTGCCTATATAAGCACCGGTGGAAAAATGTTCAAAAGACTGGTTCCTTGTGGAGCCAGCATTGTGTGTTTAACATGTAAATCCATTCATGGGTAGGTGACTGATGTTTGAACATGCTCCTCTGATGCTCCATACTATATGTTATCTACCTGTAGATGTTCTGATTCATCTATTTTGTGAAAGCTCATGGTGAGCAGAAYGAGACCATAACGACTGAACAGACTAAAATGGCCTTAGCTGGTTTGGGGCAAGGTGTTGGAGCCTGTCTCCAACTTGTCTTGCTTGGGGAAGGAAGGATATTTCTGGGCTTGTTTGTGGAGCATCAAGTTGCCACTCTAGGTAGCACCTGCTTGGGCAGCAGCTGCTTTCAGGCACTTCTTTGGACATGAATTGAGATGTCCTTTCATCGGGCAGGTCCTAGTGACAAAAGCCCATTTAACAGATGCACCTACCTCGAGCACTGTTGAACCCTCGTGTAGATGCTTGCTGAGGAGGTCTTGCAGATTTGCTTTCCTCCCCTGGGGTGAGGGTTGGGCTGCCATCCATGATGGCTTCCTGCTCCTTCTCACTGTCCTCTGGTGGGTCAGTTCAGAGCCAAACAGACTGAAAACWGACTCTGGGAGTTGTAAGGTGACTCTTTTCTGGTAGTTTAGCTCCTTGGCTCAGCGACACTGGTGTGGGCCAGGAGAGGGGTAGTTGCATCCTGCTGGCAGTGGGGTGGAGGAACAAACCACAGCTTGGCAGCTTCAGATGGATGGAAAAGCTGCACTGGCATCTCCTCAACTGTGCAGTGATGTTTGACACCCACTGGTGCTGCCACCTCCTCCCTGTAGGTACCAGATCTCCTGGTGCAACTAGAACCATGTCCTCCCTTGGGTGGATAAAGACATGCTGCTGTGAAGGTGCTTGTGCTTCTCGTGGCTCTTTGATGCAAGAAAGTCTTAAATCTTCCTCTGTCGCCTAACCTCTATGTCAGCAAACTGTCACTCACGCACAATTCCTGCTTGCTCAAATATGGGGATTTAAAATCCATTTGTTACTTCTGTGTCACTAATTCAGCAATTAAGATAAGGTATCCTGAAGTGCAAGTGCCTCTCTGAACGTTGTGTCATCAGGCGACTGGCGTGGAAGTAGACTTGGAGCACGCATGTATTGTAGCCCTGGCAGGCCCTGCTGTGTTGCACCTAAATATGATATAGCTCCATAGGGTGACCCGTGAGTTGCCTCTTCTCTTCCCCATCTCAGGCAATTCAAGGATCAGGTACTGTTGGAAAYGTAAGGGCTGAACAGGAGCAGAATTGTGGTAGTGAGGCTTATGCCTTGGGGCTTTAGGTAGTCTCTTCATTAAAAAGCAGCTTGGCCTTGGCAGCTCCATGCTCGTGTCCTGTTCTAGCTCAGCGCCCGAGGTGGCAGCGAAGGGCACGTGGTTCCTGGGCACCTGGGCCTCAAGGATTCCCCCCTCCAGGGTGCCCCGCTGCTGGCTGAGAGCGGAGGGAGACCCTGGATATTCTCCAGTCCCTGCTCGGAGCGCTGCGTTGTCCTGCTCTGGGTGCTGCTGAGAAGAGGCTGGCCATGTCTCTGATGCCTTCTTGTGGGTACTCGTACATGTTGCTAGCCTTCCCCTGAGCTTTTCCTCCCCAAGGCTCTACAGTCTCAACTGTCTTGGCCTTTCCTCATAGAACAGATGCTGCTGTCCTTTGGCTGGATTCTTGCCAGTAAATTTGTGTCTTTTACATATTTGGGAGCCTGGCACTGGATGCAGCACCCCAAGTGTGGCCTCACCAGGGCTCTGCAGAGGAGAAGAATCGGCTCCCTTGACCTGCTGGCAACCCTCTTGCTAATGCACCCAAGACACCACTGGCTTTCTTTGCCATAAGGCCACGTTGCTGGCTTCTGGTCAACTTGTTGTCCCCAGGCCCTTCAGAGCTGCCTTCTGGCAGGCTGACTCCCAGCCTGTCCTGGTGCTTGGGGTTATTCCTCCCCAGGCCCAAGTCCAGTAGAACTTCACACTTGCCTTGGTTGAACTTCAYGAGGTTCCTTCTCTGCCCGTCTCTGCAGCCTGTCTAGGACCCTGTGAATGGCCACATAGCTGTTCAAGTGTCTCTGTCTTCTGGGTCCCTGTTATGTTTGAGTTTAGTCAGGAGCTACTTGTTCACCCACACAAGCCTGCTGCTGTTTGACTTCCTGACCATTGGGATGGTCTGCTCTTGGGTTTAGAGGAAGTAATTCTTGACAGCCAAACAGTTCTTTTGGACTCCACTTTCTTCCAGGGTTGTATCCCATTGGATTTTCCCAGGCAGATCCCTGTGCATTCCAAAGTCTGTTCTCCTGAAACATAAGGTTGTGATCCTGATTTTATTTTTTAATTTGTGTGTTTATTGCTATGCTCAGGGCCCTGAACCCTACCTGGGGGTCACTGCAGTTAAGGCTGCCCTCGACACTTGCATCTCTGACCAGCTCTTGCCTGTTTGTAAGTATGAGGTCCAGCAGGACATCTGTCCTCTTCAGCTTCACTGCTGCCTCCAAGGCTGTCACGGATGCTCTCCAGGAGCCTTCTGGGTTGCTTGTGTCCTGTTGTGTCGTCCCTCCAGCACCTTGAGTTGAATGAAGACCCTCACAAAGCTCTGACCCTCACGAGGACAAGCCAGTTGTCTGGAAAAAGGCCTCATCTGCTTCCTAATGGGGCAGCCTGTAACAGGCACCCGCCAGGACGTTACCCAGCTGGGTGTGCTTGCTGATGCCTGGCTGGCTCGTCACCCATCCCAGGGCAAAGCCCTGCGTGCTCCTGCACCTAGCACAGCTCCCACCTGGTCCTTCTGAGCTGCCTTTCTTGAAGAGCCTGGATCCAGCTGCCCCGCCGCCTCTGCGGTGGGTGGTGAGAGGAAGCAGCATCCYGGACAGCGGCTGCACCTGGGGCCTCTGCCCGAATCGGTTTTGCGTTTCGCACGTCTGAATTCCACCGAGCGCTGCGGGCGCCTTGTGTGCGGAAACAAGGGGCGCTCTGTGGAGCGAAGCCTCCTTCGGCTTTCGTTTTGGCAAAGCTAAAAATACAGCGGGCGCGTGCGGGGTCGTCATGGCAACGCGGCCCGCGGGAGCGGGGCTGGAACAGGCGGGCGGGAGAGCGGAGCTGCCGAGGCTCCGCAGGCCCTGAGCGCGCGGGAGAGGAGCGGCGMGCGGCGCGCGTTGGCGTGTGTCGGCTGCTGGCGCCAGGTTCGAACCCGTCTCCCTCGTCAGGGGCCTCCCCAGCGGGTCATGGAGCCCGTGTGTGGGGCTGCCCACAGACACCCAGCGCGAGGGCTGCCACACGCAGGCCTGTTGCTGAAGGTCAAGTTCGCTGCCGCAGCCTGGCTCAACCTAAGGAAGCGTTTTGGGGATAAAGATCTCAGCAGGGTGGTTTTGGGCCTGTGGTATGAGCTTGCAGGATGCCTGCCGAAACCCACGTGCTGAGGCAAGGCTCCTTAAAATCCCTGGTGATGTCTTCACCGCTGGGTTGGGCTTGCTCAGAGGAGGCATTCCTGTTAAGAGCATCCCTGGGAAACTGAGAGCTAAGGGTATGGATCATAGCTGTGCTCTGTRTGGCCGGCTGTGTACGGCTCTATCTGCAGTGGGAGGATTTAAGGCCTTGTAAAAGGGAGATTTGGAAAGCAGGACAAAAAGCAAGTGTTTTATCAAAGGAAGTGCCTACTTTCTTCCCTGGTAGACATAACATCACATTGGCATCTGTTTTTACACCAGCATGTTTGAATTGCTGAGGTCTCTCTCTAACAGAGATACGCCTCCATTAAAGAGGAGCAAAAGGTCTGTTTATCTTAGTAGCCCTCTGGCCTTGTGCTGGCGGCTCTTCCTGGCCCCCTGGTTATTTATCACCTGCATCCTCCTCCTCTAAAACTGTGTCCTCAAACGTGGCTCAGAGTGAAGCCAGAGAATGGCTCTGCGTGGGAGCTGGTGGTGGGACACACGGGTGGGACACACGGGTGGGACACACTGGTGGGAAATGTTTCTGCTTGGGCCAAAGCGCTGCGCTTTGCGGAGGACTGAGCGCCGAGGAGAGCCAGACGGATGCTCCCAAGTGCTAAAACTCTTCCTAGAGCAGAGGGGGAGATCTCTTCCTGGCAATAATTTTAATTTGAATATCTTTTTGTTATATTTCATAAAAAGAAGTGTTTGAGGGTCTCTTTCCAGAGTTTCTGCTGTGGTTAGTGGGTGTTTTCCCTTCCCTGGTGACCTCCCTCYGCATCCCACAATGTCTTTATGGGGCTCGGGTGCAAATGTGCCTTGAGCTGGTGCTCTGCCTTCCCATGGGATTAACACTGGTGCTGCTGTATTCATCTGAAATCCCCCGTTGAACCGGCACATCCCTGAGCGCAGGGGAGGCGTTAGCAGTGTTTCTGAAAGTGGCRTGGCCAGACGGGGAGCGTGTTTGAGCCTGTGATGTGGGGATGGCTTCTGCGCTCCCCAAGGCCGGAGCCGCTCGGACACGGTCCGGATCTGTGCTGCCGCTGGAAACCTGTGTGTGGGAAGGATGGATGAGCCCTGGAGGAAGGAGCTGCTCCCCGACTGGTTTGCCTGGTTGTGGAGCTGAGGTTTGGCTGGAGGAGGAGAGGCTGAGGTTCAAAAGCAGGTTACGAGAAGTGGATGTGAGCCAGAGGTCTGCRTGGAGGAAGGAAACGGAGGCTGTGCAGCTGTGTTCAGAGGATGCTGCGCCCGCTGAAAAGGAGCAGCGGGGTCTCCGGAGACGCTTTAGGTGAAGGAAGGAACAATGAAGTCACRGGTTTGCTGGGCTCGGCAGGGCGGGCGGCGCTGTCAGCAGCGCCGGCGTGGAAGGGAGGCCGGGGTTACCGGGCGCGAGCAGCCCCCGCTGTCCCTCCGCACGGCAGCGGCCTCTTCCCTGGGCCGGGCTGGGAGCAGCTGTGCTAGCTTTAACCCAGCCGCTGCCGGTGCCTTCCTCCCCTAGAACCGGTCTTTCCCCTCCCCTGGGCGTGAGCCGAAACCTCGACCGGCTCCGAGGTGTCCTGGTTCAGCTGCTCGCAGCTAACTAGTTCGGAGCACCGGCAGGGCGGGATTTCGGAGGGATGCGGTGGCGTTGATGCCGGCCCCGTGGGGAGGCAGGGGTGACCGTGAGGGACACAGGATGCCCGCAGCCCTGCGCTGCTGAGGCTCCTGGACTCGCCCGTGGCTGTCGAGGGGCTCTGGAGGAGAAGGTTGGATGTCCTCGGGGTGTGGGGACGGTGRCAAAGCCAGCGGGTGCTAATGTGCCAGGAGGCTCCCTGGGCTTGGTCTCGGGTCTTGCGTGCCCAGCCCAGGCCGGTTTGGTGGGTGAGGGTTTGGCCTCGAGAGCGGCAAGGTTTTAAAAGGGACTAGAGAGCAGGGCTCTGTGGTAGCATCGAGTTGCTGAAGTGGCTTTCAGACGAGAAGGACGTGTGGGCGAATGTCCCTGTGGGAGGTAAAGGCTCCTCTTGGCTTCGGCAGACGCAGGTTTGGCTGTAGCTCTCCCCGGGTAGAAGAGTGGGGAGGTTTCACCCTGCTCCACATGCTTCTCTACTGCTTGGTGCTCCTTGGAAAAGACTTCCTGAGCTCTTGCATCTTCTCCGACCTGAGCTGCCAGTACTGCTTTGTCAGCACTGCTTTTCTTGCATCATTTTGTTTGCAGCAAAGCCATCCGCTTCCTTGGCAGCTCCCGCGTCTTGCCAAGGGATGCCACAGGAGCTAAACCCGGTCCTTTCYCTGTTGCCATCCCTCCCTTTTCCCTGTTTGTCCCCATTCTTCCCGCTGACTCCGCTGCTCGCGGGTGCTTCTGCGTGGCTCTGTGGAAGGGGCTCKTGGTGCTGATGGGAGCATAAAGAGACCCTGTGCCCTGACCACACGGTAGCACGTCAGGAGGAATTGCTCTGCAGTCAGCTCACCCTGCTCCTGCAAAGCTGAAATTSCTTTTAATTAAAAGGAGCTTAATTTGCGGCATGTGCATAGATTAATAGAAAGTGCAATTAGCCCTTCTTGCAGCGCTAGAGGCGATTGGAAATGCCTTGGAAATAAGTGTAGCTCTGTATGAGGTTTTGAATTTGTAATTTATGTTAACYGTTGCATTCTGAATTAATTTAAATTATAGACTTTTGATCTTTTTTAAGGTCGCCTGTTTCTGCAGCTTAAAGGAGAGTTGGCGAAATATGTATTTTTTTTTGTGATAACTTTAACAAAAACATGTAATACAACAAAAGCAGCATAAAAATCTGAGATCATGCTGAAGCTTTTTTGTCYCTGTGATTCAGGGACGCCGTCCTCTCCCTCTTCTGCTGCCCTCTTTGCTTGGGGATTCGGAGCAAATTCCAGAGGGTTAAGGGATACGCAGTTCAATGCATCATCTTGGCACGGGCTTAGAGGGGCAAAACTTTCTTGTGGCCTCTTGCTTATTTTGGAGTTGGTTACTCAGGGTTGCAGCTCTTAAGCGTTTTGAACAGAGCTTCCTCTTCCCTACACACTTACCTTTTAAGAGGAAGYGTGGCCTTCTCTATGGTAATGCCTGGATAAAGATGAAGAGTTCACATTCCTGTTGGACTACCCTAACAAAAGAGGATTGGAAATCCATAGGGATTTTTTTTTTTTTTTGCACGAAAGCTCACACACGGACACCATTGTCCCCTGCTGCAAACTTGGCATGTCGCATGTCCACAGCTCTGCTGGGATAACTCTAGACGAGTCAGTGCTGAACTGCTTCTAACTATTCCTGCAACACTTAAAATTCAATTAGCAGACATCACAGAAGTATCCCAGTCCTTACCAGTGTCCTCAGACCTTGGGAGCGTGTCCTCATCTGCAGCCAAGTCTTCCAAAGAGCGGTGGTTTGCTTGTTACCTTGACAAGGAACCTCCCCTTGGCTTCCTCTCCTTGTTTKCCTCTGAGCCACAAGGACATGTGGGTGTCTCCGAATCCAGATCCAGGCCTTCCTTCCTGGGTCTGTGTTGACAGTCCCGTCGCCTCCTGCACTGTCTCAGTTCATTGGGAAGCTTTGGTCGTGTTATTTTCAGGTTCTTGCCTTGCAGCACAGGAGCTGGCTGGGGTTTGGCTGTGTGCAGCCCTTGTCACGAAGCACACCAGTGTTTCTGGAGCAGCAGAAACGAGCTCTGGCTTTTCCATTGCCACTCTCTGTTCCTCTTGTGGGTCACCTTGGGTTTGCTGCTCTTCCAAGTGGTCCTTCACACAACAGTTGTGGCCTCTGCAGCTTSAGGAGGAAGTTCTTGATCCTCAAACTCAGCGTGTCCAAATCTGTGCTGAAGCTTCTGGCTCAGAAGAGGAGCCACTGTTGCAGTTCTTGCCTGGAGATAGCTTCATTTTCTGCGYGTGCCAAGCAGTTGGGTTGCTCCAAATGGTTATTTTCTATGTAGGAAGAAAAAATTTAATGAGGAGAGCTCATTATTCTCTCAAAASAAGGTAATGAGACTGGGAGGGGAAAGTGGAGAGCAGAAGGGAGGCTGGCAGAAGGGCCCTTGCTCATGCCACCTTCTCCTGCTGTCAGCCCTGATGTTCTCCTTGCTGGGGACGGTTTCTCCCTCTCTCACGCAGGCCGGTGCTTTGTGTTGCACCTATCTGGCAAAGCAGCTGTGCTGCAAAATCCATCTCTTTTCCCACCTACTGTATCTTCAGTCCAGTATCTTCTGTTGAGACTGCTGATCTGGTYCTTGTCTTCTCCCTCCCCTTGCTGCCTTCAGCA